TAAACCAGTTTTGGTATGCGCGATTCCAAAGCCATGAGGCGTTCCAAAACCAGAATCCGGTCACTGGTATGCGTAGGCATGTGTGCGTTTCGGTAGCGTGATACAGTTAAACGCCGCCTCACACAAATACACACATGCGCGCATCAGAATTGCTATTCATCGGTCAGCAGAGATGTCACTTTGTCAACTTGGTGAAAGTCTTTGAGGAATTCGCGCTTCTCCCCGGATTGTGTGAACGCGTTTGTGTGTGTGGGGGGGGGATGTCTGTGGGTGTGATTTAGGTGGCCAAGAACAACGCACACACACATACACACACACCGTTGCTCAAAACACGCACCTATAGTGGCTTGAGTTGGGCTCCAGATAGCCTCGTCTGAACTCGTCTAATCCATGCAAGTATGCATCTACTGGATGAAAAAACTTTCGTTACTAATCCGTTCGCGTTCAAAATCGTCATTAGTCTCTTCTGCACACACTGCTCACTGTCAAAACTTTTCCGATTGCGATTTTTCACCTATCGATCTATTATTGTTTTTCTCTTTCTCTCCGTTTCACTTTTACAGATTCATCTTATGTGCTTGGATGTGTGCGTGTGATTGAGTCAGTAAGGGTGTACTAATCGCCTGACACGAGTCCGGATTAGGGCGGTTGATACGGAAACGAATAAAAACGATTTTGCTGTTTGTTCCATTTGGTGATGACAATAGCTCAACTGCTTCTCCATCTCTCGATCATCGTCTCAAGTTGTGCCGACATCAGCATTGAAGACGTGTGCTAATCGTATTGTTTCACTTTCTAGGTGCGTGCGCCCGTGTGCGCACTCAAGGCTGTACTCGCACGCATACACATACACACACAAACACGTGTGTGGGTACACTTAAATGACTGAGAACCTAAGCGTATTTTCCTCTACTGTGTGCTGTGGCTATAAAACGCAACCTCTTACTGACCACAACATAATATTTCATATCAAATGAGCTGGCTGCCCTCCAGTATGTGCACATTCGTTGGTCGTGAAATCCAGTCTGGTCCGTTAGACTTGTCACGAAAAACCGGCCAGACAGAACTATTCCCAGTGGATCGTCGCATATCACGTCTGCCGCTTGTCACATGGAATCCAACTACACTAGATGGGTTGAAAGTGATGAAGCCCAATTACGATATGTCCCGCTCGCCGACCACACAAATTTGTACAACCGAAGAAGCTCCTACCGAAATTTGCATGCGAGGATCCACCATACCATCAAGATTTCTATCAACCCCTGTCAAATCGGATCTAAGCGAATTGTCGGAGACAATACTGAATGTGTGCGCGAGCTTGCGTATTTCCACACACAGTCCAGCCATATATGCGAATACCCCGTTAATTATACCCAGACCGGAAGAGTTGTTGGCATTAGCTATGACCCAGCATCACAGATTCCCCATGCAGTTCAACACCACTGATTCTTCTGCAACAAAATTGTGCAGTGAAGTGGTTCATGCTGATCCACACATTTCAAAGCCATCCAAACCTAATCCTCATCTCCCCCAGCGCAACTGTCCACCACTTATCCCAAGCATGAATTGGCTATTCGAAACTTCCTTCACACACTCTCATAATCCATCCACGGACCAAAATCCTTCTAGAGATGAAACAACCAAACATCCACGAACTGGTCATTTGCCTCAAAAACCTTCGTGGTATTCGTTAAGCTATGCGCTTAACACTGCGGTCAAATGTCGTTCTCGTTCACTCGGCGGAAACCTTCGACCTCGAACGCGTCGAGAAACAACAAATCCGTTGGTGAGTTTCAATTCCAATAAATCCACAAAATCAAACCAGATCCACGAGACTGAATTACTGCATGATCCCGTACTGTCTGCCAGTCCTTTGAAACGAGAACGATATCATTGTCAGTACTGCGGTAAACTGTTTCCCCGTTCGGCCAATCTGACACGTCATATACGCACTCACACGGGTGAGCAGCCGTACAAATGTATGCATTGCCCTCGTTCATTTAGTATCAGTTCGAACTTGCAACGACATATCCGTAATATTCATCAGAAAGAAAGACCATTTCATTGTTCCGTTTGTTTGAAACGATTCGGACAACGCGCCAACTTAGAGCGTCACATTCGAAATCATTTGATCAGCATGAATGTGTGTGGAAGTACGGCTGCATGTCCCAGTTGATCTCTTTCTGTCCCAATCTGGTTCAAGAAACAAGGAACACAATCAAATCCTTGCTGTTGTGATTATTTGCACTGTCATCATTTTCCAACTATCGTGTGTTTTGTGTGGATCGGTGCTTAACTTAGCAGAAACAGCGAACCGATGTTCGATTCATTTTGCATTTCTTTATGCCTGTGGCATCATTCCTTGATTTCTCCCTCTCTCAACACACACACACACACACATCTTTGTCAGATAATTTTGTTTAGTATTTCCTTATTTTGATCTCTCTTTCTTTGAAAAACTCTGCACCAAACTGTAATTTGTTCCCCGTCGATGTGCACTATCATCAGGAACTATGATTTGTTGGAGAGAGTGTACTTGTCAGCTGACCCATAAACCTGGATTGAATCTGTGTATCTAAATCTCACGCGGAATGAAACGAATTGGACTGAATGCAATGCTGGCGACGATCTAGTCATTGATGTGTTCTTCGCGAACTCAACCACTGCTGTTCCCATCAGAAACAGCAATAGCAGCAACAATATCGGTTGCACTCGTGGATCTTCTCGTTTCTGCTGTACTTATTCTTGCATAGATATCATTGAATCTATCGCCAGTGTTTCTTGACAATGAGTTTTCGTGATCCATTATTCATTATAATCATGTCTCTTCGTGAAAGAAATATAGCATGAACCGATTTTTGTTACAATTTTTGAAAGAGTTTTTAGTGATTTCAATCAATGAAACTGTTGAGATATATTAATGAACAGTATTTGTGTCTACGTGGCTACTCTGACTGTTTCTTCACTTTAACTAGACTCAGTTATCAAAATTGGAGGAAATTTATTACAATCATTACACGACGCTTGAATTACCAGTTAATCTGTCCTGGATGCACATCAGATTCAGGGTGCAGTAGGTACCACAAACCAGTTGTCTTGCATTCGACTTCCAGTGTTATACTTGTTCAGATAACCATGAAAAATGAGCTACTTTTCCTAGAATGCAATATGTGCACATGTGCATTGACAAAAATCATAGTCCTAGTGGTCTCTACACCTTTCAGTTCTGACCGTTTCTGAGACCCGGACGCGAACTTTAGGGGACAGCAGAATGTAAATATTAACCTGGAGCGTGTGCTAACGCTGATATTTGATTCATTTCTCTTTACTAGTTCGGTAAAGACAGAATTCATAAGGGCCGGCTGACAATGTGCTTTCCGAAGGCAATAGGCCAGTCACCCTTAGCAATGCCAGTTGAAACTTAAAAGTAAATGTGATCAGAGCAGAGGAAGTGTGCGGTGCAGCGCTCACGATGGAGAACTTTTGTTTGTTTTTATGCGATAACATGAGATAATTAATTCATTTGTATGTGAACTTTTCCGTGTACAGCGAGAATGAAGCGTAGACTGCAAAGGGTAGGGTAACTGTTTCTATCTGATTAGGCCTCGTCAGCAATGGGAATCCAATGGACTCAACTGAGGATCGAACCCAGAACAATCAGTTCAGTTGGAACTCGGGCATATAACGGGGCAAATGATCACATCATCCTTTATTTTGCCTGTACAGCACAACTCATCGTTGAAAGCTTGTCGCGGGCCTTACGCCTCGTTCATCCCACCAGTAACCTCGCGGGTTATTAATTGGCTGGAAACAATCTGAATCCAGTTTTACATTTCAATTCTCAAGTGCTCTGTGCACGCCGAAATTCACCACATACGTTGTAACTGATCATACAGTTGATAGCGACCGATCAGGATTAGGTTATCTCTCATCATGAAGAAGTACTATTAATTTTTACCTAGTAAAATGATAACATGGTATAAGTAAATCCTGAGTTGGGTTGAAAACTATCTGATAATTGGTGGTCCCTACATGCCTGTGATGTCGTAGTGAAACCGTATTTCGATGGCCTATAAGTTTCCAGATATGGTAAGTGTTGGCTACTGTAACCGTCCACCTTTCCGTAACACAATTGTTAGAAGAAACTAGCTCGTGTCTCCGATTAAACAATCACGTACCTTGTGTACCAATCTACAATGAGAAGAAAAGATGACTATTGTTATGAAAGTGTCGGTTGGAGAACCGCTACAGACTTACCAGGGAAGAAATTTCGGACTAAAAAGCACATCCACCTCACAATAGCCCTGGACTTCTTGTCGATTCTTCCTTTATCCTCGTGAAAATGACCTTCCCCCTTAACTTCATTGATTCAGAATTATCGAGACCACGACAGAAGCCGAATAGTATCCTTACAAATGTGAATTTATCGCACAAAGTCAACATGAAAAGCCTTGGAGGTATTGTGCTATTCTTTTATCCGGCTTGTTGGAAATCATACACAATGTGTACGTTGACCAAATCAAACAGGGTTCAAACCCGGAAAAGTGGAATTGTTGAATCAATGTGCTAACCAGTTGGCCTATTTTGTCTAGTCCCCAAGAATTTGTGTTATCCAAACAGCACATGAGTTCGAGCTGCGCGGTCACCGTCCAAGAGTGACGCTGGGTATCTGCAGGTAATGCATGAATGAAACCAAAAACAAGACTTCTCAACAGGATCCCTCCACTAATGAGCAGTGTACTCCGTTCCATGCTTTTCGGTAATAATTGTTGCGCTAACTGTGCTCTCAGGAAATTCCCTTGATAGCTTTGGTTGATCGTACTAATCTAGTGACTTGTGCTGTGAATAATGCGCGTTCAATCTGGGTACATGTGCATTTTACCAAGTCGAATGGATAAGTGAACTCTTCAAACTAAAAATTTTTGATCTCTGGGTTTCGAATGAATAAATTGATTGTGACCAACTGACCGCGTGTGGGGTTATCAACAACGTATCATTCAATAAGGATGTTTGCTTGAACCCCAGTCTCACAGATTCCTTTAGTGGTGAACACATCTCTTCGAGCCCAGGGGGCGATTTTGTCAATATTGGACGCCATTCATGGCATGTTAAGGTAAAAGCTGCTGGCGCGCCTTACTAGACGAGATGTTTTCGCACTTGAGAAGTTTCTCCGTCTATTGTGCATGATGCCTGGTGTAAGTGATCCGGCAGAGAGTTCATTGATCAGTTGGATAGAATTTCAACTATTCACAATTTATTTGATCACTGCCCGGTATTGTGTGTAAATTGAAAGAGAACAGGTAAGGGGAAAGCAAATGAGTTGTGGTGCACCAAAACTGGATGGAATGAGTAAAGCTTGTCACACCAACTGAAGGCGGACATAGCTAGGATTAACATTTAGTGGTAGTTGCACATCACGTGAACTTGATGCTGTATATATTTGCATGGCTGAACCGATTCAAGGGCTAATTGCGTGAGCAATTTCATCACTGAAATGTTCCAAAAAGGATACCTGGTGAGCGATCTACCGATATAAACTAAATTAAGAATGTGAACTTGTAATCTGCTGGAGCATGGTGCATGATTGTATTCTGGTGGGAGTGGGGGTGTGTGAGTGGATGGGGGGGGGGCGAGGGATTGCAGCAAATGATTGTCATATTTGGGTTGAGTGAAAACTATAGTAGGTTGATTTGAGAACTGTGAAATGTGGACTAGTTGGCGCAGTACTGACACACCTTTCATGCGAGTGGTCTGAAATTCAAATCCGATATAGATCAATGGATACAAATCACTGAATTCCCAGAGTTACCAATTTTCTAGTTGACCGGAAAAAGGAAAAAACACACCCATGAAGGAAGCCTCAAGGATGATTCTTACTCGAAATGGAGAGTGAGATACTGCGAGCTTGCGGATCGCATTTGACAAAGGATAACCACATGACAGAACCATTATTATTAGGCAATAGCCCCACCCCTGTTGGAGACGCATTGTGGATTGTACTGTATTGTTTTGAATTGTAATAACTTCTGCAAGCATGAAGCACACATTTCAGTTAAAAAATTTACAGTTTTGAGCAAGGAAGAAAATGAAAATAACAATGTAAAAAGCGATTTAAGTTCCGAAACCGTTAACAACTTCAGTGAAAACTTGTTCTTTGTTAACAAGAATACTTTATAATGAGGGTACTGTGGAGTTACGATAAATGTCTATTCTAGAGAGGACACAACGATATTGTGATCTAGTTGAGGGATGGCAACAGGAAGTTTAGTCAGCGTGTAGCGGATGCGTGGAGTCGATGAGAATCTTATGCTCAAACTTTTCACATGCATTCAAATGACATTCGCATAGGTTAGTTATCAACTCCTTTAGTGGGATTGAAACCAGACACGGCTAATGATGGTCAATCCACGTCGAAGCAAATTAAGATCTTTCTTAAGGAGGTTGGGAAAAATAACAG